TTTTTTTTGTGATTTAAGTATGTAATGGTATCACATAGAATTTATGGGAATTAGAGATGGAAGGGACCTTAGTTATCAACTAGTTCAGTCTCTTCATTTTATGGATGAGAAAATGGAGTCCAAATGACTTTTCTAAGGACTTAAAGCAACCAATTCAGGATTGGTATCCAAGTCTGCATAATTCAAAATCACTACATGGTTAGGGATATTTTAGCATATTCTAAATTATGCTTTTGAATCTACCAATTTTTTTGGAAGTCAGAGAATTAATTTAAAGGTTAACTTTTTTTATGTGATTTCTATAAATACATAGGTTACTATCATGGAAATTTAAAACAAATATGATAAAATATTCTCAGTACTGTTATATAGATCAACCTAAAAAGAACAAATACCAATCTTGCAATGCCATTCTTAGTTAATCAAAAGTAATAGAATGGTCATATATGTACATATGTATCATGTGTAATACATGTGTTATAAAAGTGTTCTAAAATGTAAAATAACTTCTTTATCTTTATGCTGTGATAGAAACCCCAAGGGGCAATTCTCTTTATACATGTGATTTTTAAAAAGCTTTTTTTTTTCTATCCAGAATTTTTTTTAAAAAAATGATGGTACTCTGAAGGCACTCTGATTAAAAACCACCCCCAAAATATAAATGATTGATCACTTCTTTTATTTATATAATGTCCTGTGGCAACTCAGTGGATGATATTATAATGCTTTATAATAATACCTTCTACCTTTTTATGCTTTGTTGATGTTTTGTTTGCACAAGTAAATATGTTCCACAGTAGGCACTATCCTTATGGTGTGATATTAGATATGAAATATCAGGATGCAGTGAATCTAGAATATAAAACCAAATACTCCTTCTCCTAATTTAGTAATTGTCAAGTGAGAAGCTCCAAATTTCAAGGCACATTTCAGGAGAGCAAAATAAAAATTACTTTTACAATTTAATGGGCATTCTATTTCTCCTTAAAACCAAACCAAATAGTTACCACCAAAATCAGACTCAGGTTTAATTACAGGGCCTTTCCACATTCACTTATGAAGAAATTATCATTTCAATTATCATTTCAACTCTCAGGATAGTCATAGTGATTATAGATGGGAATGAATGTGTTATTTCTCATTTTCCTCCCCAATTCTTCACATGCAATGAGCTCATCCTTTATTCAGTGTTCTAGTATTTCTAAAAAAGTGTTGTGTGGGTTGCTTGCTTGAACAATCATCTGGTTAATTGTACCTATGGTGTAGGTATGAGTTCATTTTAAAGAGACCATATAATTGACAAATCAATCTTATATGTTTCCTTGTTCAATTTTGCCTATATTTCCATCAGCAATTTTAGTGCCTATGAGAGCCTAGTTTCATGTACAGGTGGTAAAATAGTTTGCTGATGGACTTACTCAGACAACAGAAAGTAGAAGTATATTCTGGATGCCTTTCAATTATATTTGTGTACTTATGGCAGTAAATGATGACCAGCCCAAAGATAAATCCTCATTCTCCAGGAAGTGTTATTCGGGCAGCAAAAGAAGTTATTATCTTACCTCACACCTGTGCCCACAAGGGTGTCTAGAGTAACTGTCTCTCCAACAACCAACCTCTAGGTCCTGAAATACTCATGATTGTTCAAGCCCACATTTCCTTGGGCAGACTAAGCTACAATTTTCTTTTTTGAGAATTGCCACCATTGTTATAGGTTAAAGTCCAATACTGTCAATATTTTGCTTCAAAGGTCCATGGTTTTTTCACTAGGGTATTCTCTCCAATAACGCATATCATAACCCTTCTGTACTTTAGCGAATGGCTTTCAAGAGGTTCTGTGGCTGAAACATTCATCAGTTTTAGTCAACCTGGCAATAAGCCTCTCTAAGGCTCACCTGAGATTGGCCCTCAGATTACAGACATATAGTCTACATCTAGTGGTTGTTAAGTCATTTCAATTGTGTCTGATTCTTTGTGACTCCTTTCTTGGCAAAGATACTAGAGTAGTTTGCCATTTCCTTCACCAGCTCATTTTACAGATGAGGAAACTGAAGCAAACAAGGTTAAGTGACTTGCCAAGGGTCACACAGCTAGTGAGTGTCTGAGACTGGATTTGAATTCAGGTCTTCCTGACTCCAGGCCTATGGTTCTATCCACCATGCAAGTAATTAAAGATTTATACTTATAAAAGCTGTCCAAACACACTCTCCATGGACATAGTCTTTAAGAACCTAGTGTCATTTCTACATCATGATAAAGCATTTCTGTAGGACTTCTTTGGAGGGGTGAATCCTTTACCACTAGAAAATGATGATTCCATCAGAAAACATTGTCTCAAATGTGTCCCTAAATTCTCCAAACACCTTAACTGTAGGGAAATCTTTATACATATGAACTTTTAAGCAGCCCATTTATTTTGCTATGAGTTAAGAGAATTAATATCCTTGACCAAGTTAACTTCATTGATCAGTCAGCCAATGAAGTATTCTTCATTAGAGAAAAGAAGAGACCATGCTTAACAAAGACAAAAATGAAGATAGCAAGTCTAATCAAATAGTCTTTCACTACTGAGAGCTCATAATCATTTTTGTTGGTGTTCTAGGTACCGACTGACTTGTAAAACAAACTATTGGGGACATGGACACCATCTATGCCTGCACTATTTTTAATACTGCAAGAAATTGACAAATTAGAGATGATTGCCTATTTATTTTCATAGTATCCATACTTTTACATCATTTCACAAGTTCAAGACAATAGTAGTTTGGTAAATGTGCTTAGGATAGAACAAATGCCTATATTGAAGTTGTGCTGCTAAAATGCAATAACAAAAGTTATGGGTGTTATTACTACAATATTCTAGGCCTTAGGAAAAACACAAAGTATTTCTTCCATTTACCACAGAAATATGTTCCAATCAATGTTATGGTACATTTTTTCCCCTAATATTTCTTTTACTGCTTTTATTTTATCTACTTACTGCCTCATTTGATTTGTTCCTCTTTGATGGGAAAGAGGAAACACCATCCAGCAAGGCCTTTGATAAACAGCTGAAGTAGAGTGTTGAGAAATAAATCTTTAAGAGAGAAGGTAAGTTTTTTTGGCCCTCTTTAAATTCTTAAGTACAAAACTCAGAAATGGAGTTAACTGAGTAACTAAGAAGTTATACTGAATATTCCAATTTCATTCTTGTACTGAATAGAAAGCAGGAAACAGAGAGACCATTATATAGACCTGAACTTGAGATTTTTTGATGCATGGATGAGGGGAAAAAGAAAGTGTGAATTAATGGCACAACTATGCACTTAATGACCAACACCATTAGGACTAGATGGAAGAGAACACTTTTAAAAGAATATATAATGCTATATTGTCACCAACAGGTCAGCACACAATTAAGTCAGGTAAACCATTCCAATTTATTGTGTTATAACCATTTTTTTAGAATTATTGCACAAAATAAATAAAGCAGACAGATATATAATGGGTATCAAATCCCCCAATTTAATTCTAAACCACTGAATATTTCAATCAAGTACATAAATAAAATACATACCTCCATAGTGCTGCATAGACAACTGCTAGAGTGATCAAGGCCAAGCAAGACAGACCACTGCCTACTATGAGTGTTACGGAAGGTGCCCCAGATGATTCCATGATCTGTAAGTCACACACGTGCGCGCACACACACACACACACACACAAACAAGAAGAGAAGCATTTTATAAAAATTAAAATGATAGAGTACAAACTGAGTAAAACCAAACTACCATTTAAGAAATACCACCAAAGCCTAGTTTGTCTTTGGAACAACTTCATTGCCATAGCTTTCATCTCTCCAATGACTAATCTATCAGTTACTCCTCTCTTTCTCCAACCCCCAATATGAAGATATAAATAAGGCCTTGTAGACTTAAAATGTTTGATTATACTGTACCACCTTAATAATCTATTTTAAAACAGAGGCTCAAGAATCTAACTTGATAGTCATTTACATGTTAAATCATTTACTAGCTAAAATTTAAAGCTGTATCTCTTCCCTCCAAAATATATATTCAGTAATTTCTCTATGGATATTTAATAACATTTACTCTGTTGTTGTTCATTTATTATTCATTTAACTATTCAAAATCTAGTCCATGCTTACTTAAAATTTATCAAACTTTTCTGACTTTTAACAACTTTGTCCTAAGTCAAGTATTCTCCCATTTAATTTCCCTTACTTGGTCTCTGAGCAGCCTGGAGAAATTCTATTTTCTGGGACAAGAATACATTTCATTATTTTGCTAATGAATATTATATATGGAGTTAATTTACACAATACCAACTATAGTAGTAAAACATATGACCTTGAAAAATGTCTTGTTTCTCATTAAATACAACTAAAAGAAAGTAAGCATTTACTACTTAAGTGATTTCTGTGTTTAGAAATCAACATGGCAATAAGCAATAAGACTGCTATTTTAAAAGCATTTTTTCAGCATCAAAAGTTTGAAAAGGTACATTAAAAGATGCTGTTTCAAAGCCCTGGAGATTTAACAAAATTCTATTTCAGAGGTTATCTTCTTTCATCTATCTAAGAGAAGAAACTGACACTCATTTAGGCCAAATTTAGGCTGAAATGTAACATTTATTGGAATTGCTATGTCCATTTCTGGAAATAATTTCTAATAATATAACAAGACGAGCACATTATTTCCCATTTAAACATTACCTCACAACTCTCTGCTTTGGAAACTATTTTCAGGGACTTATAATACTTTCTTATATTCAGTGATTTCCTGAAAACTTGATTTGATCTTCTCCCTCCCAAATATCAGCAGACAACCTAAAAATCTGTACTGAAAATATTCAATGCAGATCTGCAATGTATTTAGCTACAGTGTCTGGGATTTTCATTCCACTATCAACAGTATCCTTATAAATTCCTTGGAATAGCTTTACAATCTTAAAAAAAAAAAACAAGTTGGCAATTATTTGATTTGAAAGTTTGCAGCACATTAGCATTACAGTGAGAAAGCTTTCTCAATTCTTTACTGCAGAACATTCAAGTTAGAAGACATAAAATTGAGTAGGATTTAGTTTTATCACACCAACTGGAATTCAATTCACTAAGCCACTGTAGCCAAGGTGGAGACGAACCTAATTTTGCCATCCTGTAATATTGTACATTCCCCCATCTAAAATGCGGTTCCCTAGAGAAACACTCCACAAAATATCCCTGTCTTTACATTAAACCGTGTTTTCCCTTTGTTACTTACTATTTCTCTAGGTTGCTGAGCCAAAATGGCGAAGGTGGAGAGACGATCACATAAGCATTTCGTATGGGATGCATCGGTAAGCACAGTTTTACATCCCTGGGTGGACCAGGTTCCCAAAGACTCGTTCCTGCAAAGGTGGGGGGAAGGGGGGGAAATCAGGATAATTACGCTTGATGGCCAATTCCAAAAAGAAGAAAATGCAATTTAATTGAGAGAATCATCTACTGTAGTTCCCGGACAGGAAGAATCTACTTGTTGTTGAACAGGACGTAATTTAGATGCATCTCCAGTTGTACAGTAATGCAAAGCGAGAGGAGGGGAAAAAGCATGCAGGCGGCTGTGCAGCGTGCAAAGAGCTGTCCAGCGCCGTTGGTGCTGAAACCAGGGCTTGCTGTGTCCAGCCCTCTGCGAGGAACCCAGTAGCAGTGGCAGCAGCGGCAATAGCAGCCTGAGCTTTGGCAGCTACTTCCTCTGCTCATCGGATCATTTCAAACACTCGTGGTGTAAAGAGGCTTTTCTTATTCTCAAACCAGCTCTGACTTCCGTCCCGCATTTTTGGCGGTGAATGCTGGTATTTAAAATGCGGATTTCTCTGAAAAACCTACCTAAAAGATTACATTGGTTCGTCTGGGTGATACCAGATCTTCTCTGCTGCTGGTTAGGGGTATTTTCCTCCCTATAAAATTAGCTGCTGTAAAAATTTCACCCTGGAAACGGGAAGCAGCGGCAGCGGCATCAGAATCAGATGATTCCAACTCTTACTGCCTTTGCCTTAGCTCCAACAGAGGGGTGGGTTTCAGCACCTCTTACACTGCCACAGCCAAAGACACGAGTTTGCCCTCCAGACTTCATTCAGCCTAACTGGCCTCTGCGGCCCCTGTGATTTCTTCTCCTCCCCCTTTCTCTTTGACTTGGGGCAACAGCATCGGGATAACCCTAAATCAATGGGAAATCTGGGGTAATGATCCCATCTGCCAGGCTTGTGTGTGGGTAAGGGGCTGACTGAAGGTGGGGAAGAAAGTCCCAGGATCAATTCATTTTTCCCCCCATTAGATTTAGCCATTCAAAATGCTAAAGCATATGGTCTGTTTCCCACCCCAGCAGAACAATAAAAATGGTATCAACCTACGTTTTCTTTGTGCAGGGAAAAAAGAAAGAAAAAAGAATCACCCCCTCCACCCCCAACTGAACCAACCTAAAGAGATCATTTCTATAGGAAAAAGAAAGAAAAAAAGCTATCTGTTTCACTAATTGACCCTAGTATCATTTCATGTGTCATATGTTGAATGCACCATTTGTTTTTCCCCCTTAAGTCCAAGCATAGAAACTCTCTAGCTAGAAGCATCCTTTATTGCAAATTTCTCTTTATTTCAACCCAAGTCCCCAAATGGGATAAACTAATCTTCAAATAGGAAGAAGAGAAATAAATATCCTGATAATAATTTGTTAATAACTTAGGATTCTATGTCCTCTGTCTTTGAATGGCTCAAAATATTGAACTAAAATACATACGCAATATATTTCTGATAAGTTTCTACAAGCAATATCCCTAAAGCCCAGAGACAACTGTACTTCCAATGAGTTTCAAAATACAATAATTCATAATAGCTCATTTTGGCACCTTGCAACAACACTTCTACCTATGATGTATGAGACAGAAGAATCCAGAGCAATTGTGGGATAATAGTTAAAAATACTCTCAAACACATCCAAATAGTTCTTTGCCTCAAGGATATGGGATTTCTGTACTTTTCATTAAGTCATAGTGATATGTCAACTTTTATCAAAAGAAGAAAAAAAAGTTGTCCCACTAGTTCTAGCACTAATAAATTTCAATTCCACTGAAACTTAACAGTAATTCAATTTTTTAAATTAGTTTTTGGTCTCTTATCTAATATCAAAGAAAGATACACTTAAGAAAAAATGATATTTTAAAACATAAGAATCAATTATTCTTCTTGAAAAGAAACTTCACTACAATGCAGTCATCTAACCATCATAGTTTCGAGATGGTGTCTAAAGATTTTTACTTCAATATTTTGTTATAATTAACAGATTTTAACAAAGAAAACCAGGAGAAAGCCTTATTTGAAAGAAAAATGCAAATATTTGTAACCTGAAAATTCCTTTACTACAGACACAAATATGATGCTTAATTATGCCTGAAAGATGTTTAATTCAAGAATGTTCTTGAGAACTATAGATCACATGTATGTAAGTAGGTCCTTGAGAGCAGTACTCCTTAAACAACTGAGTAGGCCCTGACAAGGCAAATTAGAAAAGGAGGCTACGTCTGTCTTTAGCTTCAGCTGACCTTGGCATACTGTGCCTTGTTTTCTCCTCTCATTTTCCTCTTCCTCTCCAAATACACATCATTCAGTTCCTCAGTATAGGTCTCACAGGCCTTCTTTCCAAGATACTGATCACATGTTCCAAAATGTCCCTCCCACTTCAAAACTCCCATTATTTCCTTGTCCTGATCAGATAAGCAAATTCATACCAAGATGTGAATGACTTATAACCCTTTCTAGAAGTCTATGCATTTAAAGAGAAAGAAATACCTAAAGGAATGGTTCTTTATATTATATGCTTTCTATTAAGAAGCTATATTAGTGAATATAATTATTTAAATATTTTTGAGAGTCTTAATTTCATTAAGAGCTATTTGTAATTTTTTTGGCACGGATATATACATTTAGGTATATTTATATTAATGCATTTTCTCCTGTAGTATTTTCCTACTTTATGAATTTTTAAAATGAATAATCTTCATGTGCTATTGACTCCAAGGAGAACCAGTAAAGGTAAATTGATATGTAGTAACCCTAATATATGCTAAAATTCTTCTAATCTTGTAATGAGAAGGGGTATATACCAGAGGCATTCTATTTGACTTTAAATGATATGCCTATGAATTATTCTTTCTCCCTTGTTTCCCAGTGATTTATTTTTACTAAATGATCTATTCTATATTATCTTAAAATGAACCTTTTTGGCATAAAAATATATTTATGTATGGAAGAATAACATATGAATAACTGAACAATTATTAAGCACCTACTGTGTTCAGAGTACTATTTTCAAGTGCAAAATACAGAATGAGGATCTAACCATAACCAATTAGCAGTAACATATTTCTCATTATGCAGGTTTTTTCTGAGCCCTGTGGCACTCTTTCAGTTTTCAAAAGTCATTAAGTCTGTAAGAAATCCTATGGAAGTATAAAGTTTGCACCAACTTATATATGTTCCACAATCACTCCTGCACTCCTTTGTTATGTATCTATCTAATAATACCTCTTTTCTTGTTCTCTTCAATTTTAGGTTCAAAGAATTAAGGAATATACCTGATCTAATTAATCATTCAATCAATAAGTTCTGATTAAACATTTTTTAATATGTTAGGCACTAGGAATTCATAGAATTAAATGAAACATTCCCTACCTTCAAGAAGCTAACATTTTATTGGAAGAGACAAAATATACATATGTAAACATAAATAACATATTGAAAATACATGTTGTTTTATCTATATTTTATATATTTGGAGGCAATCGAAATCACTAGCAACTGGAGGTTTAGGAAAGGCCTTGCGCAGGAAACAGTATTTGAGAGCACCTTTAAAGGAAACCAGGGGTTCAAAGAGGTAGAAGTGAGAAGGGAAAGTATTTCCAGACCTGAGGGAACAACCTGAGCAAAGATATGATGAAGAAGATAAAATGGTTTGAGTCTAAGTATAAAGAAGAGTATATACACCAAAATACACATTTTTATGTGAAGACAAAGAGCAAATGATTTCAGCTGTATTTTAAATTTTTCATTAGGTCCACCTCCTGTTTTCCTTTTGGTCATACTCATTTCTTTAAATATTTCTTACCATAGTCATTTCCCATTTCCATAACTTTATTTATAATATATGACTGTATTCTATAATGTTAAAATTAACAGCGCAAATATTCTGTTCACTACAATGAAATATTATGTAAAAAAACACTGATAATACAAATCTATAGTGACATATGTCAAGACTGTTCAAAGGTTTCATGGTTTTAGCACTTGATATAGCAAGAAACCTGGAAGCTCCCTTGAAAGAAGTCTTTTGTAGACAACCTGTCCATTTTGCTTCTTCATCAGCCACTGCGTAAATTATTGATTAGGAGTAAGTTAAACACTTTGAGAGGGTCATTAACTCTTAGGATATTAAAATTCCATTTATTCAGAAATGAAGTTGCTGTAACAGTAGTTTTACACATTTTGTCAACATTTTTATACATGAAGTCACAATTTAAAGCAAAATATGTGAACACCAGCATCCAGAAAAGATCAGTGAGCTTGCCAGGGTCCTTGGGTCACTACAAGGAAGTGATTCACTCTAGGAGAATTTGGATAACTATATAATTCACATTTTAAGCAAAATACCAAAATGATCATCTGCCTCTTAGTGTGAACTGGTTTTACAACACAGAAACATTTACTTGGCAGCATGTTTCAGCATGCTTTCAGTTCTCAACATTCTTTAGGGTAGAGTTTCTTGTTTCCAAACCTTTGCCAAGGCTGAGAGCACTATAATCTTGAACTATTGTAACTACACCATCTCACCAGAGATCATCCAATACAACCTACTACATTTTATTCTGTTACAAGTAACATTCATCTTTGTGGTAAAGTTGCTTACTGCTTAAAAGGTGTTTTAATTAAAAAACAAAACAAAAAAACCTAAGTTTTAATGACAGGTAATAATTATGTGTGTTACTAAAGTGATATATTTCAACTAAATATTTATGATAAATTAAAATTAATCTTCATTACTGACTTCCTTCTCCTTGTATTAACAGAATTAACTTGAATTAATTACTGAAGACTTTAAAGATGGGTCAGTTCTCATCAATACAGACTTCCTATGTTCTAATTCTCATCCTGATGTAAGAGGGGCTCCACTGTATATCATGGCAATATTATTTGAGGTCCTTTTGTGGCTTTAAAAGATTTCTCTATGTATTTTTTAAGTATCATTTGATTATGATCTAAAAAACAATGTTAATTCAATTTATTTTTCCATGGTGATTTTGTTTAATAGAGCGATGAAGCAAGGACTATAGTCAACATAGGCAATATAAACAATAGTCAA